ATATATATATATATATATATATATATATATATATATATATATATATATATATATATATATATATATATATATATATATATATATATATATATATATATATATATTCAAATTACATATTAATTAAAAATAGAGTCTACAAAGAATTTATATAGAATAACATTCATCACCTTACAAATTGATTTAATAATGATGAGTTAAACATATATTGGATGCATTACAAGGGCATGGATTAATAATGATGAGTTAAAAATATATATATAAATTTTCAAATTACATATTAATTAAAAATAGAATCTATTAAGAATTTATATAGAATAACATTCATCACTTTACAAGGGCATGGATTCAGGTCACCCACTATTTATTCGCATTAAACATATATAGGACGCAAGAGGATGTATTAGAAAAAAAATCAAATATCACATATTGATGATTCAAGTCGTCCATCATTTATATCCACACATAAAACCTAAGAGTGTTGGCGTAAGATGGTGTATTGCAAAAAACTTAACTTTCACATTCATTCAAGAAAGAGCTCACAAAGAGTCTTTATAGAGTAACATTTATCATTTTACAAATGAGTTATATATATATATATATATATATATATATATATATATATATATATATATATATATATTTATCATTTTACAAATGAGTTATATATATATATATATATATATATATATATATATATATATATATATATATATATATATATATATATATATATATATATATATATATATATATATATATATATATATATATATATATATATATATATATATATATATATATATATATATATATATATATATATATATATATATATATATATATATATATATATATATATATATATATATATATATATATATATATATAATTTTAACAACTTAAAAAATGTTATAAATAGTTTTTCATAAAAAAACAATTTAAATAATTTAATCTTTTTTACATATCAATACATTAAAAATCATTAAAATTTAAAACTATTTTAAAAATTAATTTTGATATATATATATATATATATATATATATATATATATATATATATATATATATATATATATATATATATATATATATATATATATATATATATATATATATATATATATATATATATATATATATATATATATATATATATATATATATATATATATATATATATATATATATATATATATATATATATATATATATATATATATATATATTAATTGATATGCACTGATAGTGTAAAATAATTTTACACTGTCATCTAATAGAAATTTATCAATCTGTCATGTCATACCGGTAATTTAAAATTTACAGTTCGATGTGACGGGATACATGATGGTGATTGGTTGACAGTGTAAAATAAATTTTTAGTTCATATCAATTATATTTATATATATATATATATATATATATATATATATATATATATATATATATATATATATATATATATATATATATATATATATATATATATATATATATATATATATATATATATATATATATATATATATATATATATATATATATATAAAATTTAAATTTTTGGATATTACTTTGTTTTTAAATTATAAAAAATAAATTTGAAATAAGTTTTGCTATTTTTCATAAAATATCATTTCTAAATTATAAAATATATATTTGTTAAAAATTTAATTGAAATGCAGTGATAGTGTAAAAAGATTTTACATTGTCAGTTAATTATAATCATTGGATGTTAAAAGAAATTTGACTTTTATTTTAATCATTAATAAAATAATACTAATAGATGATGATGATAAATCGACAGTATAAAATTTTTTATTGACAATGTATAATAATTAATCTCAGTTATCATTTTTTTTTTTCATCTTTTGACACACAATGATAATGTTAAAAATATTAAATAACAATTACGAATCCTACTAAATACAATTAATTTTATGGCGGAGTTCATATGAAATTTTGTTTTAATTTTAAACGAGACCTCAATTAATGAATAAATAAAATTGATCCTTTTTGAATGAGTCGGTCACTAATAATAAATCCATAAAATATCATCTAAAAGTTATAACATGAATCTCCATTAAATAAATTTTTTTATTGAAGAAAACTTATTAAAAAATAAAAAGAAAGCAAAATACTACTATATTACATTCCAATAACCAATTTATATGATATTAGACACATGACATGGTCACATGAGGCTAATAATATTCCTCAACAAGAGTGTGGTTAGAGAATAGTGGCTACAAATATTTTTGTATTTAACCTTGATGACAATTTACAAGTGGATGTAGCGAAGACATAATCACAGAAAGATTTTCAAGACAGTTTTAACCTTATGCGTCCAAGTGTGAACATAAGGACTTGAAGGGTATATTTGGAACTTTCATTATTAAGAATTTAAGATAGAGATAAGTGAGATTATTAAGAATGTGAAATGATTTTGTCAGATTTGTGGTTCTGAGTGTGTCTGAGCATCTCAAAGAGAATCCAATGAAAAAACTCTCGTGCGGGTCTGTCACTATCATGTTTGAGAATCTCAAGATGTTTCATCATTTTTTTTCTCACTTACTTTTGTGGCTTTAATTTCATGTTTCATATGATGGCTTATGTTTAAGTTTTCACATAAAAATATAATTTCACACGTACGGTTACATTAATTTTAAAAAATTATTATACCAAAAGATTATACATTAAAAAACAATAATAACATTTATTTTAAAATAAATTTTATTTATTAAAGTGATATTTATTTTAAAAGAAATTAAAGATAGTGCACGATTAGTTTTACAACATCATTAATAAAATTATAAAAATATTCAAGTATGTCATATCACTATTTTAAAAATAAAAATTTAATTTAATAAAATATATATTTTTAATTAATTAACAGTATAAAAATATTTTATTTTGTCAATATATATATATATATATATATATATATATATATATATATATATATATATATATATATATATATATATATATATATATATATATATATATATATATATATATATATATATATATATATATATATATATATATATATATATATATATATATATATATATATATAAAACAAGAAAATTTTTAAAAACTGTACAATGTAATGTTATGGGTTAAATTTATACTCTTTATTTCTGCTTTCACTTTCTATTTATAAATTAAAAGTCATGCTAATAATTAAAACTCACATCTCATAATAGCGAGGACCGTAGTATGAATCGATGGTCAAATATTTTCAGATACACAAATTTCTCATTTTGAGACAAGTAGCATACTTGCATCTCTATGAAAAATAATGATATAAACATAATAATTAAGTTTTTAGAGAGAAAAGAAAGATTTTTGGAACATGTTTATGTTTTATCACACAAAATTTATTTCTTATTGCTTCTTTAAATTGACCACTAGCATGACCACAATAATAGTTTATCTCATCAACTTCTTCTATTAAGATTGCTCCACAATAATGATCATTGACATCGGCTTGTAAGATTCTTTTACCATTTCCCGAGATTTCAGGGCAGGTGGAGTTTATGTGATCTTTTTCAAAGTCTTTACTGCTTCAGTTTGCTTTGTTCCCCATGGTGGTGGTTTTTTCTTGAGTAATTGGGTCAGAGGACTCATTTATCTCGTTAGCTTTGGTAGGAAATCTCTGATATAATTAATTATACCGAATAATTGTTGAGTTTGCTTAACGGTGAGATTTTCATCAAGAAAATTTAACAACTCTTGAGCAATATGGGGCTGAGGTTGATATTTTTCTAGGGAGAAATGCATTCCTATAAAATCAATTTATGTTTGGTCAAATTGGATTTTCTTTTAAGAGACCATCATTCCATTTTGTTGTGCCATTTGAAGGAATTTGCCCAATAACTGTTTATGGGATTTTCCTTCTTTTGAGATATAGATGAGGATATTATTAAGAATGAGCTCAAAAATTGTAGTCATAGCCTTTTCGAAAAGCGATGGAGCTACCTTAAGCCCAAATGATAATATTGTCCATTGGTACTAAGCGCTAGGAATGCAGAACTCGGTCTTGTAACGGTCCTTAGGGTCGATACCCAATTGCCAAATACTTGACTTAAGATCGAACTTGGAATAAATTTGGGCATCTTTGATGAAAACATTTAAGGACGAGGCCTTTGAAACGGGAAATTTATCATCTTTGAAAAAGTGATTTAGAGGTTTGTAGTCAATTACTAGCCTCTTTTTCCCTCTCATCTTTTCAGATCTCTTTTCTACATAAAATGCTTGGCAAGTCCATTTCAATTTAGTGGGTTATATTAGACCTTGTCTGAGCATCTGGTTGCGTTCTTCCCTATCCAATGTATAATCTGATGGACACATTCCTATATGAGTGGATTTGGTTGGATTAACATCTTCATTAAGCTTAAAAGGAAGTTGGACAAAAAAGTCTTCATTTTTCTATAGAGGTTTTGATTGGAGGAATTTTTCATGGTTGTCTGCACAGAGTTTGAGTATGTTGGACTTGATTTTTTCATACCCAGCAGGGACTTTAGAAAGAGAATATAGTTCCAATATTCTAGATTAGGGTTGGAATTCTCTTTTGAATTTGATTCATGTGCGGAGAATTTGAAGCCTATTTGCTGCTTAATAGACATCCATTCCTACAACAATACCTTTATTTGGAAGATTACTACTAATGACCTTAGTTCAGACTATGTAGTCTAGAAAGAATTTGATTCCTATCTTTCCCTGGTCATTAAATATGTCCTGAAAACTTTTTCATCTGCTACTACAATGTATGCAACATGTGTTGCACATGATTCTATTGGGAGAATGCTATGATTGATCATTATAATATGAGCCACATTATCCATATAAGTTATAACTTTCTTGGGATGGGAAAGCTTTGATACAAGGACATGAAATTCAACACAAGGGAGAGGAGGAGTAGGAAGAGAACTCATTTTTTCGTTGAAGGAGTAAACCTGTAAATATTCGATGTCTCCTGATTCTGAAGACGAAGAGTTTTAGAGGACAAAAATTGTTTCTTCACTAGTAGAGCTTTGTTCAGAATACAAAGATTCTAGGTTTCCTTCTAGAGGTTGAAGAGAGTTGATCAGCTTTGCGGCTTTGTTAGTATTATTAGGACGTTCTTTAGAAAACATTCCTTTTTCCCCAAACAAATCATCTTTGATTTTCCCCTTTCCTCTAAAAGGTTCTCTTTTAAAAAACTTCATAGCTTTCTTTTTCTTTCCTTTGAAGATCCTACGAGGTTTGGTGTATTTTTGCTGATGATGTTTCTTTTTTGTTGCACAACTACATCTTTTATCTTTACACTTGATATCTAAGTAAGGCTTCTTGCATGCCTTGGTGAACTTTGAATTTTGTTTTGCAACCTTTGAGAAATGATGATGCAGTCTACATAGCTTTTCAAGTGATTCTAAAGTAACTTGATGAATCTTGTCAAGACTCATGGTTTTAATATCCTTTTGGGTTATTTCTAACATTCTATGAATTTCTGGCTGGATTTCTTTAAGGTAGAGACGAAACATGTGTTTGGAGATTAGGGTCATTAAATCCGTTGAGGACATAATATCTTTGTGCCATTCTATGATAATGTTTGTCGAGGTATTTTATTTTGAGGGAACAAAACTTCATCTCAAAGAATTCTTGTTTGCTTTTCTTATCAAATATCTCCATATCTCCAATAAATTCATGGTGAAGGACTCAAAGGATACTAGCATTATTTTCTAGTATGTTCAACTCATCCTATTTGAATGTTCAAAGATTATGGTACCATTCTTTCATAGTGCCTGTCATTCTACAACAAAATTCTTCAATGACTTTATACCTATATGCACTTGTTTTCATTATCCGAGTGTCAAGCCAATCCCCAAATTCGAGGAGTCTTTTTCTCCAACGACTAGGTGGGATATCATCAAGCATGAACCAAAGACCATTACTTACTTTTGTCCTTTTGGTGGCTGGAGTCTCTTCAGGTGGTTTCTTCATAAAATGATTATTTCTATTTTATATTTGCCATAAAGAGCATATGTATAAAATTCTCTTGATATTCTGACTCTGATGAAAAGGATCCCAGTGTTTCATCAGCGGATGTATCTTGATAAGAATCATTGTTATCATCTGAGGAGGAATCTTCACCCTTTTGTGTTGAGGATTCATCAAGAAAGTGATTTTCTTGGGGGAATTCATAATATCCTGTGTTTGCCATGGCTTGGAAACCTTTATCAAGAATTTCTTCTTATTTTTGGAATTTTGGAGGAGGTGTTTCAGGAGCGTCATGAGAGTCTGAGGATGAAACAATCAAACTGACAAATTTCCCTTTTTGTTCTGGAATTTGAGGTGGCATTGGTTATGACAAAGTTAGGTCTGTGAGCTATGGGTATGTATTTGATATAATCTGGTGAAAATGACGCATAGGTAGGGTAAAAAGAAGAAGGTATTTCTGGATGTGTGAAATATGTAGGTAAAGTATGAGGGTTAAAGAAAGAATGTTCAACAAGCTTGAGTTTCCTTTCATGAGGAGCCCTAAATAAATCATCCATCTATTTTACTTGACCTTTAAGATTTCTGATTTCCCTTTCCTTTTGGTCAAAAGTCTTGCCAAAAGTTCTTTCTTATAACATTTCTCTTAAGTCATGATCTAGTTGTGAAACTTGAGCTTTTAAGCTTCTGTAATGCTTCTGCATTTTTATTTGAGATAAATCCTTGAGATAATCTTATATTTCCTCTATTTTCTAAGCAATTTTATCTACCCTTTTGTCAAGGTTCCAAATAGTATCATTTTGAGAAACCATGTCTTATGATTTACAATTTAGGACCTTCTTAGCTTGAGTCAAAGGTATAAGTTTTCCATCATACTGGACTTTATTAGGATGAATGAAATGATTAGATGTTCTGCCTGTGATTGGGTCCATTTTCCTTTCTAGAGCATGAAAATGTTGGCTATAATCCGATGTTGTAGTTGAGTACATAAAACAAGGGATTGAATCAATATTCTTTGGAGGATCTAATGGTTTATAGTAGTCTGAAGGTGACCATGTAACAAGAGTAGGGTCATCAGGTGGCAATATATTTTCTTTCCTGAGCATATTAAGAGTTTCCTCATAGATAGAGAAAGTTTTCTTTTTCTCACAAATTCCTACCCATGGGCCATTATCCAGATCAAATCTTTTTTCAGGAGGAGGAGATGGTTTGTACATCCCTTTATTCTTTCTTTCAGGGAGGATAATTTCTCTATCAATATCATCATTGTGCATCAAACAATCACATCATGGGTCGCATTTTTAGGATCAATGTCCCAAATGAAATGACCATCTATCTTGTTAGTATTAATATATTTTCCTTCTGTGGTGATGACATAAACCAGACACCAATCCTCTTTAAGTATTGGTTAGATCATCATGGTTTGGAAAATATGAGAAACTTGTTAGATGATGGAAATGACCTAGAAGGGGGGGGGGGGGGGGTGAATAAATCATTAATTCTTATGCAGAGTCGGCGCTTATGATAAATTGGTTTTTAAAATCTTTTATGCGGAAGCGTCCGAAGAACTAAGATTTTCTAAATGAACCGTTACCGAAAATATCGGATATGCGATAAGCCTAGACGAAATATCGATTACGATGAGAAACCAAATTAAAAGTTTGAACACAAATCAATACAATTTTATTCGCTCAAAGTTGTTCAATTTCCAATGCCTTATGAAAAATAAACTCAAGTTGAAAACAACTCAAATGGTTTGTGTTCAAGCAATTTGTAGAACACTTGGTGTGCGAAACACTCCAAGTGAAATTTACTAAGTAATGGTAGTGCTAAACTTTTCCAATTACAATCAAAAGGATTGTAATGAATTTTCCAAATACTTTTCAGCACTACACTATACCAGAATTTTAATCAAGCAATTTGATTGTACACAAATGTTAAAATTCAGAATGGAAAAATAGAAAAAAGAGAGAACAACACCAATTTATTGAGGCAGTTCCCCCGTCGTCCTCGCTTAGGGTACGTCTGCCCTCAATTCTAGAAATAGAATTGAGACCTGTATAAACCTGTTGCAAATTGTTTATACAAGAGAAGCAATAGAAATCAAACACTTAAGCCTAGTTGTTGATGCTGAAAATATGTCTTCTTTCCCCTTGATTCAAGATGAATCAAGTGCCTCGAATATGTTGAATAAACCTCCGATTCCAGCCTCACGTTTGAACCACCCAACGGTCTTCAAATATTTAGCCCGACTGATTTCAATCACACAGAATTTGAACCCAAATCTTGCTTCCACAATCCTCCAATTACCGCTACTAGATTGACAAAACCACTCGTTCTTCAATTACCTTCGCTCGGCTGAATCTGTGAAGAAATGATTTGTGCAAAAATCCCCTAAAATCCTAAGATTCTTTGAGGACAAAACCCTACCGATTTTATTCAAGAAAAACCCACCGATCTTTCAACCCAAACCCAATACAATATCCTATGTTTGGACGTTATCACCTTAATGATGCAGAATAATCAACAAAAATGGTTTTTGTATTTGTTGAGAAAATGCAAGAAAAAGGATGAAGATGATGAGAGAAAAATCAGTGTCAATTTTCACTTTTCTTGTTCTTGTTTGAAAGGATGAGCCAAAAAGAATAGGACCAAGTAACAAATATAGCAGCCATTTGAAAGTCGAACACATGAGAAAAATAAGGTGGCACGAGCGAACGCTCGACCTAAAGAGGGGTCGACCTGAGCACTTCCGCTTTCAAAATTATGCAGAAACTAACTTTATGCATCGACTTAAATAGGTCAATGCGTCGATGCAAACCTGCCCAGATTTGACAATTTGAAATGCTAACAATATGAGTCGACCGGAGGGTCGACATGAGCACTCCTGAGAGCAAATCCTTAAAATTTACTCTGTATGAGTCGACCTAAGCAGGGCTTTGAATCGACTCAAATGCTCAGACTATCCAAAAATGTAATTTTTAACATGTCTTGCTATATCTAAACACTAATAATGTATATCTAAGTCTTTCAACATGATCAAACCCATACAAAACACATATAATGCTTTTCTATATGGATAGACACGTGTTTTTGAGAAATTCTTGTGCACGAGAGAACTATGAATGCATATGCGACTCGATGATACCGTCCAAAATACAAATTACTAACTAGATACGTTTTGACATCATTAAAAAAGTATTGAGACAACTTGCCCTCATATACTCCCCCTTTTTTATGATGGCAAAACAGTAGTAAAATCGAGCACTTTGAGTAGTATCATCCTCCCCTTAACTTTATGCATTCTCCTAAAAAAATATGAAAATTTGATCAATCTTTGTAAGATGAATTCCTGATTTGGCTTGGTCTCTTTTCCCCCCTTTGACAACCTCAAAAAGAAAGAAGCAAAAGGTCAAATAAAAACATAGTATATCTAATTTAGCCCACTGACATAATTTGCAACAGGTACTCAATAACAAGCATTCACATAAAATGGTGTTAACAAAAACATATATGAAGATAAATAGAAAAAAAAACATATGAACATATACTAAGGGAATTTAACAAACATTAGGATCCAAAATATTTCCATGTCTTATTCAAACAAACAAACATAATGATAAATGAACATTCAGATGAAATGAACAATAAATAACATGACATGCACAACATCAACACAACATGATCCTCAAGGTCTCCTCCCTCTAAAATGATGTCCCCTTCTTATGAATTGATAATATTGAGGTGGTGGAGGTTGTTGCTCATCAAGCTGCTCAGTATGTTCCAGCATAGCCCGGTTGAGAATGTTGAAGCTTGTAATAAGAGCACGATTTTGACCTGCAGCGGTTTCAGCCATAGTATTAAAACATCCCATGACGGTGGTGGAGAACATGTTGAAATTGTTGATTTGAGCTTGAATTTGGTTCTGCAATGTTGTAAACCCTTCATCTTAGACGATATCAAAATTCTGTTGCTAGAGTTGTATATTTCTCATCATCTCAAGGAGTTCATCATTGTTTTGTTGAGGATGCGGAGGAGAGGGAGGCATATAATACGACTCTTGGTGATTCTAATTGTTTGTTGGAGGCATATATACGAACCAAGGGAGGTCCATCCGGTATGTTACCATTCACCCCATCCTTGGTTTTCATAGAAGTCCACAGGGGGTGATTGATCCAACCAAATAGTATTATCTTGATCATCAGCATTGAAATTAGTCTCCATTTGATGACCATCTTCTTCTTCTTCCTCTTCTTCTTAACTTTCATCGGATTCTTGTAGCCGTGAGCTAGTAGCCTTAAATATAAACCTTTAGCGTGTCTCTCGTTGATCCCATATGTAACCTATCATTGTCAATGTCTTTTGACAGAATTCTTGGTCATCTGTCAAAGTCTTGCATGGAATGCCTGAAACAACCACTTCAGCATGATTAAGCACACATTGAATGAAGGATGCATATGATAACGCAATGCCTCTACCATAATCTCTTAGAGAATAAATC